GTATTACCGTTACTGTATGTGTTCTGATTTTTTTTATGATATGCTACAGTACAGTAGCTTAATAAATTTGTTCATATTTTTGTGTGAGAAATGTTATAACCATGCTGGCCTTCAACACACCCAGTATCCTGCATTGTGCAACATACCATATGCAATATCCTGTTCAATGACCCGTTTATCAGGGCAGTTTGTTAGATGGTACTTGTACTCTGGTCCAGGCACAACATGTCGTGCATTAAATGGGCAATGAGCCATATTTGATAGTGGAAAATTCTGAAATTAAGATGAAATAAACATTGGTGCAGAACAAATTCTATTTATGGTTGTTAGATTTACAGTAAGCCTTTCAAATGAATTTGTCAGTAAACTAAAGATGACCCAATAAAGATAAAGAACCATAGAGATGACCCACAGATGTTGCAATGTTGACAACAATGAAAGATGACCCAATTGATAATCAAGTGCAAACGTGGCCTTTCTCTCTAATTTAAGTTATATTTTTCTATGTATTTTTATTGATTAAACCACACAATCAGTTAAAGACAGCTTTTTTAATAAATTGAAATTGAATTAAAAGTTATAACTTCTTAAAACTTTAAAGGCCCTGTTCTCTCCTATCAAGTTTTTAGTGACAAATTGTAATCTGCTGATTTGTGTAATACGACATGATCATACCCACTGCCCCTTACTACAGGCATTTCTAAATAATTAATCATGAGATACAGGTTTATTGAAATAAATAAATAGAATAAGAGGGAAGAAACCATATACCTGTAATTTAAATGAAAATAATATATTATAACACTGTGAATATGACTTGGAGATGTAGGTTGGTTGTTAATACCATATTCACACTACACAATGTGTTGATCGGTTACAATGTAGTCGCTGGTAATCCAAAACTTATTACTCCCAATCGCAACCAATGAGCATATTCAAACAAATTCAGACACAAAAAAAACTTTATAGCAAAGATCTTATAACAACAAGATTCTATGATCTCCGTGCAAATTCAGGAATGACCACCACAGTAACAACTAGGACGCCCTCTCCCAGTTACAATTACTTTCTATTGTTTTCTGCATGAATTGGACGCTTGTTACACGCAAACCGCGGAGAACGCTATTTTTTTTATATTATAAGATCTTTGCTTTATAGTGGAAAGAGAGGTCAAATGGTATTAGGCCACCGGTGACTAGGGATATGTTGACTAACCTCATTCAATCGGTGCCTGTGGAATCTGTTGCGATCAGATTCCATGGTAATTGTGAGTAATAAAGATTGTAGCACACAATCGCAACAGGTGACAATTGTGATATTGATTACTTATCGACTACAGTGTTCACACACGATTGTGAATTGCAATTGGGTGTCACAAATGCTACAACCGATCACAGTGGGATGCTAGTCTGAATAGGGTATTAAACTTGCCTTTTAATCTTAGGGGCGTGGATTCACATCCTGTCAAAACACCAGCTTTGTTTTCTCAAAAACAACTCAACTTGATACTCAATTGTATGTATTATGAAAAAATAATCCATCTAGTATTCATAATCATTCCACTATTCAGTAATGAATTCAAACTGGGACTATGTTCTTATTATTTTGTTTGAAAATATGCTCATGATTACATTGCATCATGACTATATATGGGCATACAACAGTTTTTTCAAAGAAAATTTGATAATAGGGAGATTTCGCAACCTTACAAAAAACGGTAACGAATATCGTCATTACCAATCAATGATGTACAAACTGAATATGATCCTTGTTTCATGCAAAGGGCATGAATCAACTACATTGTGACACATGCTACTGTAGGGAAAGGGTTGTCTAAAACTTGTGACGACGAAACTGTATTTGGTATCGTTTTCCTAAGCTTGCAAAAAACTCCCTAGTGTGGACAGAGCCTTAGGGGTTAATTTAGCTATTAGTCAGCTGACGTGCTCCAAGGGCTCCGTTTCCTCGAGTCCTTCATCTGTTTTTAACATATTCATTATTAATGACATTTGTATTTTTATTTTATCTGTACTTGCTTACAAAATAAAATTAAATACAGTAATGTAAAGCATTCATCATTAACAATGACAAAAAAAACCAAACATCTTATTAATACTGGACAATATAAAATATAATTCACATACAGTATATAAAAAAAAATATTTTTGTGCATCCTTTCGAAATAGTGAACTATATCAGACACATTCCATTTACCTTGCGACAATTCTTCAGATGGTATGGAAATCGTTTGGCCCTTATTTTGTGATTCGAATCATATGGGCAAACAAATTCCTCATTGGGATCACAATTAGTAAAATCTGGAGTTCTGTATGCATTTTTTTGCCTAAACATCTTGCTGTGCTGTGAAGAGAAAAAAAAACAACATGCTTTTATTTCAAATTTTTATCCCACTTATACAGTAAGTCCTGAATCTGAGAGGCACAAATTGTGTAGTAAAATGCTTTAGCAAACAATGCTGCAGCTTGCAATGTGTTGTGAAGAAATAAAGAATTTGAAAAAAGAAAAAAGTATTTGAATTTGTAATCGTTATAGGGCTGGAGCCTATCAACAGTTTCCTTGATAAGCTAAGCTAAAATTTAAATTCAAATACTGTGACCGTATCTCCATTCTTGCCCATACTTTAGAAGTGGTTTGGCGCAGCAGGAATGGTTTAGATTCCCATCCTCAAGGTTGGGGTTTCAATACTATATTTTTTCCTTGTGTCCTTGAGCAAGGCACTTAATCTGCATTGCTTCTCTCTCCACCTATGGTAGGAGTATAAATGTGTACCTGGTGGGGTTGCTTGCTAATGTACAGTACTGTCACTAATATGGTAGCAACACTAAGGGTATGTTCACACACACACGGCGTGAGGTTGGAGTAGCTTATGCCGATGTACAGGAAGCTACTCCATGGAATAAAATTCCAAAGTGTTTCACAAACAGCGTTTGCTACTGTATAACACTGGTTAAACTGGTAATAGTAATAGTCCTATGGGAGAGTAGTTTTCAGTTTTAAATAATGTACGGATTCTTGAGGAACAATTTTTGGTGTTGCAGGTTTTTATAGACAGTCTAAAATAGGTTAAAATACCTTACAAAACAAAATCAACACATCATTTCAACTAAGTAAAATGTAATATAAAAAAACCCTTTACCATTTCAATTATAGAGAGCACAGGAAAGTAACTAATCTATTGCAAAACTAATCAATCGTGATTATAGGCAATCTCTTTAAATGGGGTCAAAATCATTCAAGCATCACTGCCGTTAGCTCTGTGGTGTTAACTAATCTGAGGTCTGCAGGTAGCATACAGTAATGCCACAGAGGTGGTGTTGTGAGTGGCGCCAACTGCCTAGTTCACACACAAAGGCGGATGTTACGCCAGCCTTACTCCGTGTTTGAACATACCCTAAGCATTTGGACCCAATGACAAGGTAAAAGAAAGCGCAGTAAGTAAAGGGAGCCATATAGTGTAAATACCAAATAAATAACAAATGTACCAAGCTACAGTACAGTATGTCATACAATACACTAATATTTAATTACCATATATTGACTAATGTATTGTTTTTTACTTGGGAATCATGAGCCTCAATAATTGCAAGGTTCAGAAAGTTCAAAATTAGAACCCAGAGAGCGAGTCTGAATGTTCCTCTGCATACCACACCCCATATAATCCTCTTGATAACAACTTTTCCATCTTGCCTGTCTTTTATACAATGCATTGCTATAATTTCTCTTGCCTAGTGAGCTAGTGAGCTTCTACTATAGGCTGCCAGAACAAAAAAAAAATTTTAAAGCTTTTTTGGTATCAATAATAGAAATGCACAAGTGTCCTCTTTAAAACTGTAAAAACTCCCCTTCAACTCTCCTTGGGGAAAAAAAGTTATTAGATTTAAATAGTGTACTTACTGTACTGTGTATCATAAAATGTAAGCTTTACCATCAGAAGCAAGAAAACGAAGCATAAGCAAGCAAAACAACACTAACATAAAGTGGCCCATTCAACTAGTTAGGGAAAAACCAGATTGCTTTTATCTATTGTTGTACACAACACAAAGCAGTGGTTTCTGATAAGGAGCACTGACGTCATGACCAAACTACCACGTCTAAAGGCTATTATTAAACCAGTTGGGAAAATCCATGCAAAAATATAGAATTTTGTAAATTTGTATTGCTCTTTTTATCTTTTAAAAAAATGTAAAACTTCCTTTTTCATATCTATTTTAAAAATAAATATAATAACGTCTCTATAACTTTTTCTTTTTTTGTAAAATTACTGTAGTAGGAAAACAAATGAATAATAATATTTTAATAAATAATAATTCTTGTTTTATTTTTTATACCTATTTTAAAAATTTCATATATAAGACATCTTTCGTTTTTTTGTTGTTTTTTTTAAATTACCTTTTTTTATGTAATGTACCTTTTTGACTTACTTTGAATGTACCTGTCCTTGTTTTATTTTTGAATGTAATTAATTGTTTTGACTGCTATTGTAATATCCAATCTATATATTATTTTATGATTGCAATAAAGATGAATTTGAATTTGAATGTATTGTTTTCACGAAGTGACACAAACTTCACTCTGTGTAAACAACATATATTATTATGTTTATTCTGATCATTTTTACGAACAAACACAAACTTTTTTATGCTAATTTGAATTGTTAATTTATCTTTAAACATATTTTAAGAAAAAATTCAAAATTTTGTTATCTTGATAGTGAAATTTACGGATTTGTGAAGTAGCCCATTTCAAACGTGTTTTCTCAAAATGTTTTTGTCAAAATTGAAGTTTGTGTCTGTTCGTGGAAATGGTGACAAATTGTTTCCTTTCATATTACTCTCTCTATACTGTATGTAGAACTTGTAACCTTAGGAATATTTCATGTGCTTTGTACTATATTGTTAATTTGCATACTCAGATGCAATTCAATTGAATTGATACACAAGTACTGAATTGTAGTTGTCACAGATGATATGAACTAGCTGTCTGTTATAACAATAAAGACTTGCGTCCTGTTTGTAAAATCATGTTCTTTGTTTTGTGTAGAACACTGTATTTTACCAGACACTAAGTTTGAAGTCCTTCCTTCACCACACCAAAATGCAGGATATACAGGATGTAAACTACAGTGAAGATGATATTCAGAGTGTTCCAATTACCTTTGTACATTATTTCTGTGAATACCTACTACTGTACTGCTGTACTACGAATAGTGTTGAACATTGTGAATACTTAATATCACTACTGTAATGTTGAGCACCACATTATATGGAGTAACATTAAACTCTAGATAATATACTCTATTGTGTATATGCAACAATGAAGGATACAGTAGTTTCTTAATGGTACAATGAAATTGTTTCGTGCTATTAATTTAATATCATTTTAACAACATAAACTATAAACTATACACATTTGCAAGTAACAATATTTTTCTAATAGCATAGAAATTGATAAAAAATACAAATGAATTGTATATTAAACTTTGTGAAACACAATCGTTAAATTTAACTAAATTAAAATTAAAAAAAAAAAATTTTCGTCTATTTCTAGTCAATGTACCTAATCAAAGACAAATATCAAAATTATATGGCGGATAAAGGTGTTTGTTTTTATAGCATATTTTTAGTTTTGTCTGTATTAATTTTTAATGTATTATTTTCTGTGTATACTATTGGGCCGATTCTTGATAATTTTACATTGAATTTTGGAGGCTATAATTTATTTCGATAATAATTAATGATGATGAAGATAATGGTCATTTAATAATATAATAATATTGATGATGATGAATGAAGGTGATGATGATGATCATTATCATGATCATAATAATATACGGTATAATACTGTAGCCTATAGGCCTGGTAAAGTAGTAAAGTAAGACTGGTATTGCCTTTGACTAACTAGGGCATAGTATACTATCATATATACTGTCATACACGCTATGAATTTGGCACGCGTGCCAAAAAACTCAAATACAATAGATATTTGGCGTAAGCGCCACGAATGACAAAAAATGTTTGAAATTGCACTGCACACGAGAGCTATGTACGTACGCCAAATGCCACTTGGCGTAAGCAGATAGCTCTCATCTGCGGCAGGCTTTAGACAGCTGGTTTAAAAACGCGAAACATACGTGAGCCTAGACCTAGGAGTAGATGTCTATGCTTGGTTATAGATACCCAGATTTACACGAGCAGTGCGCATCAGTGGCTTGACCTTTGCCGACAACAAGGTTGACTGAATGCGGCTTTTCCCTCTTCCTTTGGAAGCAAAATACAGAGGCTTTTACAACAATTTCCCTGCCATGTTCCATGAAAACACTATAAATATATGATTTATTTGCATACCGCCTACCCTGAATTTTTTTTCTTTGTGGGCAGGGCTTCACATCCTTGTTGACATGTCAATTAAATTGAAAAAATTTTACTGGTAAATTTAATTTTGACAAAATCTGTGTGGATATCAGCCCTTAACTTTCTCCTGACTATACAAAGTCGCCCCCCTCCCCCACCCAAAACCACCCTATGATAATGTTCCACTCCTGACTATATTGCCCATATCACAATGCATTCAATCAAATCTTAGCCTTATGTCAATCAATATTTTGAGCTGCTCTATATTTTCCTTCCCTTTTCTCATTTGTTTTTAATAATTCTTTTTATATTTTTCGAATATTTACATGTTTATTTCTTTAAAGAAAAGTACACAATTTAATTAAAGGAAGTGGATATATTTATGTGACTGTACACAAATCAGTAAACGATACATTTATGTGAAATAAATAATGCATGGGCAGTCAAACTTGCATTATCGGTCATGTAAATTTATCGATTCTGGTTAAATGCATGTTAATGCGAGTTCAACTTTCAGCACTCGAATTTAGCGTCAGCCCTACAGTAGCTGCGGTGCCCAAGTCACTACACGGCCATTAATCCACAGTGTACGAAAATCAAATCTTTTCCAAACGTGTTTATAGTGATGTTAACTTCATGTTCAACTCATTGGTTGAATGAATTTTTGTAAACAGTTTACGACAGGGAGGTTTGACCACAATGTACAAGCGAGGCTGTCTATTCCATGGTCTCTGCATCCATTCGTAGACACGTCATGCACAGCATGGTAATTCTTTCAAATTAACTGCCAATGAGGTTTTTGTTATTGTGACAACGTGGGAAAATGTGTTTGAATAAAACATGAAAAATACCGGAGTTTTTTGTCTTACTTTATTCTTGTAAATAATAATCTTTACAGAAAATACACGCATATTCGTTGTTCACTTCTTACTTCATAACATACTTCGTAAAGTGTAGATCACATGCTCTCTATACGTGGTCTTTTCTCAATGTTCTTCGCGCTTGATTGCAGCTTGACCTGACTAAAGACTACTGTACAACCATGTTGTTGTTTTTGTTGGTGACGTCGGTAAATATGTTTGAATGAAATCATTAAAATGTTATTGACTTTGTGATGATTGACTGTCAGGCTTAGGCCTAGAAGAATATCGTTTTGAATTTGTGGTACCGGTAATTAAGAGCTAGTTTTAGCAGGGAACCGCCATGCTAATTTTGAGTGCTGAAAGTTAACTAAAGCCCTATTCCCGGCAAAATTTTGATTGTTTAAGAAAAATCTGATTTTTATATATGTTTTCAAGATTTGTAAACCTAATACGAAATTGCTAGTTTATAACTGAATTTAGAGATTCCTAAACATGAAAAATTTAAAAAAAAATTAAAATAAAATAAGACTGAAATTTGATTTTTTTTGTGTTCCACTTTTATGTATAAAGTATACTTAAAAGTGAGAGCATTCCATCGGATGCGATCTACAACCTCTGAATTTGCCTAGAACGAAGAATTCGTCAAGAAAATGGTAATCTCCTAGTTTGTATTTCTCATTTTTTTTATTTTTTTGCGTAAAACATATACATTTTTTCTAAAAAAAAAAAAATCTTTTTGCCGGGAATGGGGCTTTAACATACATTTAACACATGAATGGATAAATTTATGCGGCTGATAATGTAAATTTATTGAAGTATGGACTATGACTGCGCATGCGTTATTTCAGGTATGTTTGTTTGAGGTCACGTAAATACCACTAGGTACATCCATAATTAAAATAATATAATACTAAGGTAAAAATAATATTAAAAAGGATTCCTATAAAAAACTATAGGCCTAGGGGCCTAGCCTCTAGCTAGGCTTACAGGGCCTAGTAGGCCATAACTAAACAAATAATTATTACTACTATTTTTAATATTTATTACAGAAGGTCATTGAAGGTGGTCTATAGCCTGCCTAAGGCTAACTAGCTAGGACCCTAGCCTAGGTTGATTTTGTTTGAATTTTAAAAATTTTAGTTGCTCCAGACTGTCAATCGGGCCGGGCTGGCTGGTGTAGGCCTACTACTACTACGCCAAGGCCTAGGCAAGGCGAGGCCAAAACATATTTATTACCTTTCTTTTGTATCTTGGCCTAGGCTAGAGTTAAGCTAGGCTATTTCAATTCTAGACAAAGAAAAAAAAATCCAAGAATATGAATTGGTTTAAAACACACTAGGCCTACCTTCTATAGGCTACAGGTTACAGCATCTAACTTGAACTTGATTCGTTATAATTTTCCTTCCCCACATAAACGTCGCACTTGTCTTTTTTTTTTTTTTTGTGAAAAATTGTTTGGTAATAATTAATGACGTCTCACTAACCTTCTTTATGGAAAGCAAACGCCGCCAAAAATACAACACTAATTTCAACGGGAAACAACCAAAAGTACGTTTCCCTTTTCACATACGGTAACATTGACCTGTTCAATGGCGTATCTAACAGTCTTGAAATGGGAGAGGGGGAAGCTAATGGAGGCGCATAGGTGAAGTGGGGATGGGCTACTAGATGATTAAGTGAGGGCGCACTAGCTTGCAAAAAAGGCGATTTTTTTTTTCATCCTGAGCATGATTCTTTTGCAGTACTTCGATGGTGGAAACTGTGAAGGGCGAGTTTTTGAGGGGGCAAGAGTCTCGAGCTTTAAAGGGTTATGTGCCCCTCCCTCGCTCCCTTTCCTAGATACCCTGAGCTCCACTTTGTGAGGACGTATACTCAATTGAGTGGTAGTTTCTCTTCCACTGCCACACATACATATACATCTTGTAATGTGTCCTGTTTAGGTTTGTTTATACTTGCAACGACAACGATAAAAACCTAAAAAGCAATTGTTTATATACAAAATAAAAAAAATAATTAAGAGAAGTTTTTACACCAGAAAGATTCAAGAAAGGTTTTTCGTGTAAACGATAACGAAATATTTTGACAAATCAATTCAAATGACGTCTCATGGAAAACGATAAAAATCGTAGTAGTAACAACGATTTCATCGTTTTTCCATGTTTATGACGTCATTTGAATTGATTTTTCAAAATATTTTATTGTATACACGATAAATCGTTATCGAATCATCCTAATGTAAAAAACTCTACTATTTCTTTTATTTTCTACGAACAATTGCTTTTTATCGTTATCGTTGCCAGTATAAACAGGCCTTTTACGCACTTCACTAAATAAAATATTAACTAATACCGTCGGGGCCCTTGACGCCTATACATCCTTACTTATACCATCCCCCGCCGAACCCATTTATAAAGTCGAATATTGCGTAGGCATAAAATATATAATTTTTTTTACTGAAGTAATCCAGTGCTATCCCCTGACGGGCACCATCCTGGTTCTTAGTCTAAAGTCAAATAAAATGGTCCAGTAATTAATCTTGCACTATGCCGATGAATAGGTTACATTATATATACAGAATACTCAAACATAGTTCCCAAAATAATTTCCCTATAGCTTCCCACCCACGATCCAAGACCTCCAGTTACCATAGAAAAGTTGCCCAAGATACAAAAAATAAGGCCAATGTAATATCAGTACTGTAGTCTTGCAACAACAGTGTGATATTTGACAAACATATTACTTACTAAAGAAAGTCCTAAAGCAGCATTTGAAGTTTATTTTCATGATTTTTTGATTGCCATCGTTTTAATCTGACCAAGTTAATTCTGACATTGGTTGCTAGCACTTTTGTCAAGTTTTGATTTCAAACGGCAAACAAATTTAGCAGTCGTTGAAGCGGAAGTTCCCACAAGAGTAACAAATACAAAGTCGAGTTTGTGAATGAGTGACACAACGTCCTAAAATTTTATTTTAAGACCACCAACACATACTATTTCTGCATACAAGTATTTTGAAATCAAACATTATGCAACATATGTATGTATGTACAACCTTGATGTTGTTTGATCGCGATGATCAAGATTAGTAAACACTGCCGGCGCACGCACAGATATTTCATCAAGTTCATTAATTTGTATATCGGATAACAACAGCCAAACACTAACACAAATTGAAGACAATAGCCAGCATTTTATAAAATTGTTTTATTTAACAAAAATGTTGTTTTGACATTCTCATGGAACCTTCTGGGTATTAAAGTGTTTATTTTAACACTTAAGACTTTCTGGGGTTTTAGATATGCTCGTTTTGTACTCTTTGATTAACTGTTCAAAAACCTCACCCCGTCTCCCCTGACTATAATTTGAAATACCAAATTCCTAGGCTATGGCCACTACAATGCTAAAAGTGGCCTCAATTCCTTTGAGATCATTACACCTCCCTAATCATTACAATTTCTATTCAATCAAGTTTAAAATTTTATACCTTTTTGGAAGTTCATATTTTTAATTCTTCAATATTTTGGCGTATAAACCACACTTAATTTTAAACCAATTAAAAGTTTTTAGTTCATCAGAATAAAAATCAGTTATTGAGTTTGAATAAATTCTATAATTATGTTACTGTATCTACCGTGTTTTAACTTTATTACATCATCTAATTAGAGTATACTTAGTTCAATCCTACATAAAGTTTATAGAGTTACAGTATGTCATACCTATGATAATCTACCTGATTTCGATCACAGATTTACCAACTCGCTGTTGGAATCACCACACCCGTTTAATCTACGCGATTTAGATGCATGCAGTGGCGGAGCCAGCAGGAGGGCAGAGTGTAGCAGGGGCTGAAGGCCCCTCACCAGACAGGTCAAGCCCCCTGTCTCTTATACACATCTAGATGTGTATAAGAGACAGTCTGGCAGCCAGACCAAAATTTTTTTTTAAAAATAAGAAATGTAATAAAATGCATATTTATTTAGTTGACTTTGACAGTACAGTAACAATTGTATTTTATCAACATTTAAAAGTATTCCGAGAGTGTCATTTCTGGCCAGATCCAGAGGTCTCTATTTTAAAAACAAATCCTTATCACACTCAGTCCTCCCTGTCAGACAGCTTAGCCCCCAGAAAATATCCTACAGCCGCCACTGGATGCATGGTCATCCATTTGAAATTAAAACGAACCCATCGGCATCAAATATGTTGACTGAACTTACAAATTACATGTTAAAGCGGGAGTCACAACTGATTTGTTGACGCTCAATAATGAAGAAACAAGCAAGGCCTGGAAGGCCTCGTTCAAGAGGGTCATAGGCGACCTCCACCTACCTGTATCACCAATCCAGGAGATGGATCTAATCATCAAATGGTTGGTTGAGAAATAATGCCATTATAATGCATCCATATACATAATCCTGGTGCATGGTTAAAGCTGATGTGGGACAAAAACAAGTCATTGAACTTGATGACAAGATTGAAGAGTTTTCCAAAATTCAAGCTAAAGAAAAAGGATAAGCTGCAAAGGTCTAAAGCACAAAACCCGGCACAAAGAATCACAATACGGTCCAAAAGATACCACAAAATCTAAAGGAAAAAGGGTGTGAAATATAAAGTTAAGAATAATGTCGCATTTCCACCATTTAAATTTTCGTAAAATTCATCAATTATGAAGCGAAAATTTGTAACGATCCAAGCTTTATGGCAATGATAGTGAACAAACCGTGAGGGAACAAGGAAGTACACCACAGTTAGTGGTACACCAATACAAACGAAGGCTAAATCAAAGTTCATAAGATGTTATCTATGCAACGGTGCGCATTGGCTGTCACAGTATACATCTCTTCAGAAGTAAACCAATCGATGAAAGAAGACAGTTGATTGGAGCTTAGAGTTTGTGTTGGAATTGTCTGACGACAGGACATTTTGCATCCAGTTGTCCAAAAGGAAGCTTCTGCAAACTATGTTCAGAGAAACACTCAACCTTTCTACATCCAGTCAAGAAAGCTACCAACAAACCAACAAAGAAAGAGTGTTGGAGCCAGAGGAAAGAAGGTAAACCTTGATCTACAGGCTATGAATGGGGAATCTGTTCACACTTGTCATATGATTTCTTTAGAAATAGCAAGTTTACCAGGTAGCAAGCCAAATTAGCTCTAAAAATATACACTAGATCAGTGTTGCAAATATCCATCAGAGGTATTGCAAAGCAAGTGGTCATAAAAGGATAGCCTTATCTAAAGGATATAGAAATACCGGAAATTAATGGACGAATAGAGCTTTGAGTGGTAACACTATGCCTGAATTCATCCAACCACTAGAAGTGAGAAAATCTGAGAATGGAGGGCCGTATGCCACAAGTCAATTGTTGGGTTGGACAGTAAATGGACCTCTTGACTCTTGTCAATGAAGAAGCCACAATTGCAACTACAGTACGGCACACAGAACCAATCACAATGATCAATTTTGGCAGTTTTGTAACATTGAGTTTTCGATATAAAGCCGAAAAGTCAAATGATGTCGCAGAACAACAGGAAGGCACTAGACATGATGAATGAATCAGTGAAACACATGGGAAACAGATAAAAGATTGCTAAACCATAAAGATCCCCACCATCAAGTATTCCTAAATAATTTATGGTGGCTTAGCACAGGCTCCAATCATTGAAAATTAAACTGGAGAAAACACTGCAATGTGAACAAAATATAGTCCACATAATTTATGGAAAATATGTTGCACAATGGTCATGCCATAAAGATACAAGATGATGGAAATGAATCTAAGTGGTATCTTCATCATCACCCTGTCCTCCATCCTCAAAAGCCTGAAAGGGTGCAAGTTGTATTTGACTGCTCGGCAAAGTACAAGGGCGTCTGCTTAAACAAAAAGCTGTTACAGGGGCCGGACCTCTGGGATCGGAGTGCTGCATCGATTCCGTAGTTCACCAGTGGATTTCCTGCGGACATTGAAAATCTGGTGCACTTGTTTGGAGGTAAATCCACACCAAGCTGTGCTAACTTCGCCCTCAAGAAGGCGGTGGAAGATTGTAAGCAATGTAGTAAATAAATTCTTTTATGTAGACGACCTACTGAAGTCAGTTGAGAATAAAGGCAATGCAATCAATATTGTTTGAAAGTAAAGCATATTCTGGCACGTGGCGGTTTCAATTTAACTAAGTTTGTTTCTACCTCATCTAGACTTGAGGCTGTTTTACAAGAGGAAGGCAATGTCAGTGGAGTGTCGATTGGTAGAGAAAAACTACAGCGGCTATTGGAGTTCAGTAGTGCGTTAAGGAAGACAACCCGAGATATTCAATATCTCCACGAACCAAACCATGTCTTCAGAGTATAACCCATTGGGACTTGTTGCCCATCGATCTTTCAATGATCCCAAATGTAGTTTGGATCCTACAAACACCACCTGATACAAGCCAAGATGGTTGGGGCTGAGGTAAGAAGAAGTATGATTATGGCACCTCTAGATGGCCAGAAATTGCACTCCCACATTTAAATTTGAGTATAATATAAGTCAAATTTAAAGGGGCCCAGCTGGGCTGGGCCATTTAGTCTGGCACTGGATTTAATATGATATACTGTATGTCTACAGAGACACATTATATGCTTTTATGTATCAACAAAGCTCTTTGGGGTCAGGGTGCTAGATCAAGAACCCTATGGGTAGGGGTCAGGGCCCTTGCAGATTGTTGCACAAGAGCATTACATCACAAATAAAATTGAGAGCATGCTCAGCTTATCTCAATCAATACAATTTTATCTGAAGAGTGTCACACCATGTGTGTGGTAAGAAACTAAGTAGTAATAAAATGTCTAATCAAAGCTACTGTTGAACCTCGCTTTTTATTCATTTATATCCGCTCTGGTCTACCATTGAGCACACTCTCTACTTTATCAAAGGTTATTTTGTCTCCAACCCTATCAAAGAATGTGGCAAGTCTCCTAGATTTTGGTAGAATGAGTGTCTATCTTAGCCTGAATAGTACCTGTTATAGTGATTAGGTGGAAATTCTTTGTTTTAAAAGTATATATGATACTAGTTGAGCGGTCAAGTGACGATCCGCAGTCAGAAACTTGAGTTGAAAGGATCGATTAAATACCTCAGTTTCCAGTTATACGTTTGTTTCTTTATATTTCTTTTGTCAGTGCAATATACGAAAGGCTACATTTTGGCGATCCTGCCAGGACACAGTAATAATAATTTGAGTGAAATATTTTCTACAGATTATTTGCTGCGGATTGTTTTACTGTTTTACTTTTTATTTCTTTTTGCTGAGGATATTTAAAAGCTAAAAACCAAAAGGTCCACTGATTAATCTCAGATAATAAAGTATAATACATACTCCAAGTATTGAAATACACGTCATCGTGTTGGGATTCAATATTTCGACATTAATTATGTCATCATCAGGAATGATATTCCTATATTCCTGATGATGACATAATTAATGTCGAAATATTGAATCCCAACACGATGGCGTGTATTTCAATACTTGGAGTATGTATTATACTTTTTTAAAAGCTAAGTTATTTGCAAATCATACTTTCATACTCTAAATGGCTAGACGACGGGCACAGAAAGCTCCATTACCAGATGTTGAATTGACAATCAAAGATGAAGAAATGACGACCCCTCACAAAGCGCATTCACTACCTCCTCATCAGCTACCAATTCATAGACCAGCACAAACCCTAGGACATTCACTGTACCACTAAGTGAAAAATGTCCCCATATTTACAGGGAAGCCAGGGTCCGGCATCGATATCGAGGACTGGATAAGAGATATCAGGTACGTCATAACGACAACACAGATGCTTGAAGATGCCTAATTTAATACCATCATCAGATATCTAGGAGGGCGGCGAGGAAGTTAATCCTCAACCTCTCTTTAGAAAGCGCATTTTCAGAACTAAAGGCGCAATTTGGTGAATCATTTTTTGATAGAGACCCACTCGCTGAATTCTATGAACGATTTCGGCATCCATCAGAAACACCATCCATATATGCTCTTGGATTAGATGCGGTTCTTAGGGGAGTGGAAGAGAGAACACACAACACACAGCCTTTGCCTTCTTGTGAACATTATGTTATTGAACAATTCATGTGCGGTGTCAAGGACACCAGTGTGACACAGCGATTAGCACCCATGCGTCCACGAAACATGGCATTTAAGGATGTTAAAGCTGAGTTGCGGCTTATGGAGCAAGAAAATAAGTCTACAGGTAGGCCTACAATTAAAGAACCCATTAAAGTTGCGCAACAACAAATAGGACCAGCGATATCAGAAAATCGACTGGACGATCTAACAAAATCCATTACTGATATAAAGGAACAATTTGCGAAGATGCTGTCGATGCAAGCTGACAACAGTCCTAAGGACAAAACCGTGAGTAAGTCTCTTCATAATATCCACAATCAATCGAACAGTGTCAGTAACTCTATAACTTGCCGAAAGTGCAGACAAGCAGGACACACTGCAATTGGCTGCCGCAATGTGCCGTTAAACTCCAATGTTCCACGGTGGAGAGGCGCACCTGTGGAACATCGACACTAAGCCTTAACCATGTTAACCATGATATGCATAATGCTCTTAATAGTAATAATTGTAGTTATAGGCCTATTATATAGTCATGTTTCCTCATTGCATAATTCCTTAATTGGAGAGCCTAATTAATATATTGTAGAAGTCAATGGTATAACTTTTAGATCATTAATCAATCGACTCCGGCTGTCAGGTTACATCCATAACAGATAGCATGTGGAAATCTCACCTCGAACTTAACAGCTTGTCCTTAGCTCATGTGAATGTAAATATCAAAGGTGCTAACGCACAAAAAGTGCTGTATCTGGATATCGTTCATATAAATGTACTGACGAGTATAGAAATAGAGTGCCTGTACTGATTGGTACAAATGTTATTCGTGCCACTAGAAGTGAAGTTCGCTTTCAATTGCACCCTATACTAAGATAGCACGAATATCCACTGTATTTGGATTGCACAATGATGATGTAAATACTAATGTAAATAATAATAAGTTTAACTTTGACATACAATGCCATTGAAATGTCATGTTAATTATGTTAGACCTAATGCTTGTGACAATGTACTCTCACAACTTGATCTATCTAAATCTGAATTTGACAATTCACTCAACTGGTAACTGAGGTATTTATTCGATCCTCTCAACTCAAGTTTCTGACTGCGAATCGAATCGCCACTTGACCACTCAACTTATCATACATAATTTTAAAACAAAGAATTTCCACCTAATCACTATAACAGGTACATTAATCATAGGGTAAGATAGACACAAAATCTAGGAGACTTATAAAATAAACACATTATCAATTACAGACTGGACCCACACCAATCTACATTGTCTTGGGACGATAATTTATGTGGTAACTGCCACATTCTTCAACAGGGTTGGAGACAAAATAACCTTCGATAAAGTAGAGAGTGGAAAAGAGTAAAATCAGATAAATGACACATGTCACATCCACCCCTCTTTTAAAGAGTTTCTAAGATATATGCTTCCATGTATGTTAAAATGAATAAAGAAATATGTATAGAATCGAGTCTGGGTGTTTTTATTTTTTTACCTTTACCGCAAATATTAATAAATCGTGAATTTGTATATTAGCTACGCCCCGCCCACAATTTTTTCCCATATTTGGCATTCTTGGCAAGTGACGTCATCCTTGTACAACCAGCTGATACACGACATAGCCAAAACATACACAGTTTTCAAAAACTACAGAGTACAATGGCCGACATACAACCGTACATGTACGAGCCTTATGCTACATCTAGCGAAGATGATAGTACTGACGAAGAAACAATAGGTCTAGATGAATTAACTGAACAGCAAATGCGTATAGGAAACACAAATTGGTAAGCAAATTATAATGAAAATAAAGGCTAGCCTGCCTGGTCCTGGCACACACTGTGTGTTTACTCGGATGGCGAAATTTGACAGTTCGCGATAAATAGTAGGTCTAGGCCTACCCTCTAGTTTATTTTTTTATATCCCCTGACATTTCTTTACAATAAAGTAGGCCTACATTATTAAAATATCAGAAAATACAGTAGATAAATGATTTTTTTTTTTAATGATAATACAAAGAAACTTAAAAACATGTACGAACTTTAGCAACATCTTTGCTTTCAAGCTGTTATTTACTCTCACTGCTAAGGTCGCCTAGAAGCTTGGAAGTGATTTTATTAGAACGTCCCTTAACTTCCTCCTGAGCGCTTCATTGCCCTCACTCACAATGTGTGTAGAACTTTCTTCCAACTGAATTAGTGTATCTTCCGATTGCTAAAAACAGATTAAAATATTTTTAAAATCAAGTCGTTATAAATAGACAATCATACACATAAAGATAAATACTGTAAAGCCTATAAAGATTATTAATATTGATGTTATTGTTTTAGTTATTATTAAAACAAATAAAACGATTTATTTTTTATATCATATCTTATAATATATGAACATTATTAACAATGTCCCACGTCAAAAATGTATTCTTGTTTTAATTTTTGATTAAAAGAAAAAATAACTTAATTCAACAGTGAATAGGATTTAACAGTATACTTTTAAATGTACAAAGGTATAGTATAATAATGGGGTACTAATGACTTCACATAGCTTACCAAATGTATTATATGACCTCTTGGTGACTCTTCAACCTTGACATCTGAAATACCAGCCTTTGGGAAAAAAAGAGGAAGGTACATTCAGCATTATCATTACTGTATACAGATATATTAGTTATTAGACACAGTTTAACCACAAGGATATAAGGAGACTTTATTCATCTCACTACGGGGAAATTTCATGGCTGAATATAACAATGTGAATACAGTATATAAAAAAACAGTGAACCATTACACATTGTTAGATACAGCGATGTCGACCACATAGAGCAGCACCAACCAATGTTACCACCTGAACTAATACTAAGGAAGACTATGCACAAAAGCACTATTCACTTTCTAGAACACAGATCATCATTGTCGTATCATCACCTAACTTGATACCCACATACTAAAAATTGATCAAAATATATGGTAATAACAATCAGAAAAACAATGGAGAAATGAAATTTCCTGTAATAAACTGAAAACAATACACCCAACATCCAACAACAAAACTGTATCCAGTCAACAACCGTTGACAAATGAATCATACAAAATAAAAAGAATAAAATAAAATAAAAACATGTAAAAAACATCTACACACTAAATCAAAAAGAAATATTTACTGCCTGTGGGATCGCAGTTTTAGAGTTACAGGGGTTACAAAGACTTTACAGTATAACCAATCCCCACATTAGATTACTAATTTTAAAATGTAAAACTTTTAAGATTTAATATTAAGTACATTCTTAAATGTCATGCAAATCTCATATATCCCAAAGATTATGTTATATTCATGCACCGAAGTGGAAAGTTTAACCTCATAAATGTTTTATGTTGTTTGCTGAATGGTCCTTAATAATATTACAGTGTAATATGACCACAACATAAGGAAGTCCTCTCTTTTAACTTTTAAACTTACATATAAATATAATACATACAATATATATTTAAATTTCCTTAAATCATAAGGAAATCCCCTCGTTAAATTAGCATATATAGTACAAAGCATTTTGATTGACTGTCAATCTTAGATATCCAAATTTTAGGAAATTACATTTTATGCAAGCACGAAAGTGAGAACTTTAACCTAATAACTTGGAAAACTTGGTCATAAAATAATTTATTCTTAAATGAAGCAGAATAATGAAAAAAAAAATAAAACTCAAAAGTACATCGTGCAGACGATTTAATTGTCCCTTTTAAATTATAGTCAGACAATGCAAAAATGTATTGCATTTTTTCTATATTTTTGTCTTTGGATTTAGGTGGCATTTCTGACAGAAGAATTTGAAATTTGCCAGACAACCAGGCACTGCAATAACTTTATATTTTTTAAAATATCATTTTATCTCTCACCCTGACCTTCGCCATGACAAACAGTGCAAAGGTCTGGATCCGTGCCTGCATGTATTAAATGAAAGGGTACCATAGCAATATTATTTTTTGTTCATAGGCTTAATCTTAGATTTTTGTCAATGCCAAAAGGCAAAATACTAAACTAAAAACTATGATGTGAGTAACAAGCTTTCTCTTGAATAAACCTGCCTGTTTTAAATTCAAAGTTTTTTTATTGTTTTGCTTCATCATAGCCCTGATGTTAGTTTAAAACATATTTTTATCAAAAAAAATATTGTTAAACTATGTATTAGATCACTACTACGGAAAATCGTTAAAATTTGCGTGCACAATGGAAAAATAGAGAATTTTGCCAGGGGCCCTGGGCCTCTGAACCCCGAGAAGGGCCCCTTTGCGGCCTCCAACCTCAGTGTTCGCCTCGTCCACCACCTGACCACTTCAATTATTGTGGCTACGACCCTGTATATATGAGAGTCTAGCAAACCAGGACAGTCAAGGAAGCAAAAAAGCATGACTACATAGCAGAACTGTATTTGGTTAACTGCTATAAGTTAAGGTCAAATGAAATAGAGCACTACTTTCTACATGGAAAAACCCAAAATTTCTTAGATTAAATAATATATCTCTGCAACAAGCCTATACTATTAGACAGTGTCTGATAAAATACTGTTTTATGTCTGAAAAACAATAAAAAAATGTGTTCTGTCTCTACACAATTTCCGCTTATAAACTGTTATAATAATGACTGAACGCTTGTCTCATACCTTATCTAAACTCTGAACAAATTCCTCAACATTGACACTTCCATAAATATAATGTTTTGGTTTTCTCTGTACTTCTTCTTCTCGCCGTCTTTTTCTTGACCCCTGTAGGTCTACAGGAGTGTTTAATACTGGTAAATTCTAAAGGAAAACAGTTATAATTTGTTTTACTATAAAAACTAAACAATGGATCACTGTTGTTTTGTGTATTTTCATACAGCTGCAGTCAAACCTGAGGGCTAAAAATGCTACAAGTCACTATAGTATGCCATTTTTCCAGAGGAACATTTAAGTTGAGATGAGATTGAATGAGATTTAAGTATAATGGGCTTGCCTCCTGGTGTAAGCCCAAGGTCAAATCACCATATTATGTAGCAATCACAGTTTAAAGAAAAATTGTTGTAAATATTCTTATTCTCTATTGGCAATCATGACAGCTGGATGGGAGGGCTTGATCTCTAAGTAAACTTAATTAAAATATTATATCAGAGAACCTCTCCCATCCAGTAATTACAAAACAAATATATATTTAAAATATTATATTCAACACATACATCAAGCTAAAAGTACTAACAATGTCAGCAACAAAGGAAAAAATATTAATTATTTTTCAATAATAAAAAGGAAAGATTAAAAAGTTGATGATGATGTATATAGGTATGATTGAAACAGAAAAAAAGAAAGGATTGGAATAAAAGAAGTGCACATATTTTGTACTAAGAAATATTACATATATATAATTTCTATTTTGTTTTACTCACCTGTAATACATATTGGTTATCCTTTACTACAAGCACACCTGTGATGGCTGACAACAGAACACCTGGTCTTACCTCAGTAGGAGCAAGATCTTCAGCTATCTAAATGAAACAATAGATAACTAAGATACTATGTAAATGTTTCTATTTTAATGCTCTATATTTAAAATACATAGATAAGCATAGTACATGTAATAATATTAATATTAAACATCTTGGCAACACTTACCTCCTGTGATATTTCAATCTTCTCAAAGTGCCTTTTCACTGGTACATCAAGTACCTCACCTCGTGTGAATGTCGAAGGAGATGGGTCCTAACAAATTTGTTAAAAAATAATCTTATTAATCATGATACAGCTGAAATTTACATACAAACATGTGTTTCCTGTAGTAGGAAAATATTTGTACACTGGCTAGGTTCAGGTGTATAGACATTAACCAACACAGGTGTACACTACAGCACTACAGCAAAACATTTATTTCAAGTTCTGGATTTTCTTACATTATGTAACTTACAGAATCTATCTGGAGGTCCGTTTTGTGTGGTAATGATGGCGGAGGTTGGGCATATTTTGCTGGTATTATCACATGACCAGGCTGTGAAAAGTAAAGAAAGATAATTTTTATTCAAAATTTAATTAATTAAAAAAAACATATCTTATTTTATTTAACAAAAATTAGTAGCAACCTTTGAGTAATTTTAAATTACCTTCAGTTCTTTTATCATTTTGTTTGCCTGGGAAAAGCCCATTGCTGGATCAATTGGACAGTAGCATGCCTTCATGGACAGAGGCTGATATGGTGCTAAGGCATCCAAATATGGGAAGTCTGGCTCTGAAGAAGAAAAACATAGTGATTAAAATAAATTATGAAAACAAAATAAAATTAAGTTAATTTCAAATTTAGCTTGAAATAATGGTTTTCCTTATTTTTCTCCTCATGAATAAACTATTGAATGAAATTGATAAATTGAATTTTTGACATAAGAAAACCTCACCTGTAAATATGACAGTGTTAACACTGGATCTCCCCCACATTTCCATGAAGTGCACAGCATCTCCAAACCTCAAGGACGGATGGCCAGTGAATACAACACATGGTGTCTTGAACTGGTTGCTAAATTCACCTGAAATTACAAAAGCAAAATGATTCAAACTGTCATTCACCACAATTATCTTTTACCAGACCAGATTTCTCATCATCACTATTGTATGTTGCCAATATCTTTTATCTAAATCAGTTTTATTATTGTTAACATCATACTTATTTTTAAAAATTATTATTGATGTTATTATCAATCAATTAACATTACCCTAATATATCCCTCTTCATCAACACCATCATCATCATCAAATTTTCTTCAACATCACCATCATTATTTTTGACATTCACTAATCAACACCTTCAATCTTGCAGAGGATTGTCATCATCAACAATCATAATTACATATTAGCTCTCAAGTAGAGAGAGCAGCAGCTTTCTCAATTGGCTAAACTGCTGGTAGCCACTGTGTGTGCTGAACTGTGAAGACCTTGGTCTCCAGTTCTATTTCCGTCTCTGCTCTCCTTGTATTTCAACTGGAGGGCTGAAGGCAAGTTACGATAACACACCGTCTTTCAGAAGACGTTGGTACTGCGTGCATTATGGTACAGGTGCACATTAAAGAATGCAGTACACTCTTAAGAAAAAGTGTGTACTGTCAAATCACCACCAGAAGGCCTCCACTGGAAATAAGTCTTCTTCAGACTTTTGTGCATTATCATTGGTGTTTAAACCAAATAAATCAATCCGTCCATCCGTAAAAATATTCATCATTTACTTACCATGAATGGATGCATAATGTTTAAGCCTATTGTTCTTAATGAGGTCTGCGTGTGGAAATGGAGGCTCTGGTAGGTAGACTTTAGAATGCTTGGCGCTACAAAGCCTTGAAGAAACAAAAATACTTCAGAGATAAAAGATGATGCAAAGATAAGTGTGAGTACTGATTATTTACTACAGTACCTGTATGTAATGACCAAAGTGCAATGTACAGGCCCGTACGCAGGATTTTTATTGGGTGGGTGCAAATTTGTGGAAAGTGGACCAAAATGGGGTGGGGCGCTAAGGACATAGCCCTTTTGAGGGGTGGAGCCCCATCGCGCTCAGACTTTCTTGATACTTTGAGGTTTTAATAAATGTTGAAGATGCAATATGATATGTTCAGGAAATGGAGGGGGGGGGGGGCGCCAGGGAGTGACCTTCAGAAATGGAAATGGATTACCTTGGTTGGGGCTGAGGACAATTTTTAATTATGGCAGCCGGAAATGCCAATCTAAGATTAAAATTTGGAAATTGCGAATATCAACAAATAATAACAGTATTTACATCAATAATAACAATAGCTGACATAAATTTGTTGAAGAACAATAACAATACAGTGCTCCCTCCAATTCGAGACCCTCTAATTCAAGTCCACTTTTTCAAAGACCCAAATAACAATCTTCAACCTTTTAACACAAAGCTAGCTCTCTAATTGGGGAACAACCCCGAGACCACCCTAGATTTTCAGGTCCTAAAGGTGGTCTCGAATTGGAAGGCGAAATGTAATAATTGTAAAAGAGATCATTTGTTCTCCTCTTACCATTCGGAAAATATCTGTGAGTATGCTAGAGAACAGTCAGCAACTGGTGAGATGAAGTAAATAGGAATCTGGGATAACCCCATACTATCCATATAACCCCAAAGACACTCAAAGAGATCGAACAGCACACCAGATGGGTAACATGGCACCAGCACATTTCCTCCATTCTTGATCGTTACAGCTACAATCAGAAAAAAAAAAAAAAATGTTGGATGTGTTTGGAGAGTATAATGAAGTGGTTTTGACCCCTACATATGAAGTCCCTCCATGGTCTCCCTCTAATTTCTGGATCCACCGTAGCTTTCGTTTTATGCTAAACTGCAGCAGTCATGTGTAACTTACAAGCCATCTAATGTATTTGCTTTCTTTGCAAATGCAATTTAATTGTATCATGGCTAAATTCCAGTCTAACCTATTACTGAGATATTCCCAAACCTGAGTGTATTGTATCTTGGTTAAAATACTTGCCTAGGTTGCTGCAGAACTCTCCCAGCATGCTATCTGGGTTATGTGCAGGTGTCTGAGTCACCCCTGTAATGATCATCACATCACTGTCTTTCATTGGTTGTTGATTAATAGGGGCAGAATGAGTTGTGAGGAAGGATGACCCAGCAACATATGACACCTGCAAAAAAGAAAATTTCTACAACGTTAACTTTGGGAACATGACAATATGCTTCACAGGAATTTTGTAAGCAGTAAAAATTAGTAGCAATTCTGATATTCATGATTATGTATAGGTGTATTCCACTTATTACACCATTTTATCGGGTCTATTTTGAAACAGCGCCACCAACATCTCGTAACTTTTCACTGTGGGACATCCAGCACAATTTTGTTTTTCCAGACACATATCTTCTTTTGAATACTGCAGCTTTTATGTGCCCCTATGTTTTTTTTTCGTTTTGCATTTTGTCTTCTAAGACTAGCCTAGGCCTAGGCTAACTCAATATAAAGGAGGTTGCGCACAAATCACAGAGCACAGATAAACACTGGTAACTATATAGAGACTATGGATGTCCCTCAGTGGTAGTTGCCAGGTTCTCAGGAATTTTTATTTCAAAATAGTGAAAATGGTGTAGGAAATCTAACAATGTATTTGAGTTATCATCATCACATCCATAAAAAGTTAAACTCATTTGGTTCTATTTAAAAGCAACTAGAAAATTTGTGCTGGCTCCCTGGAAACTTGCGGCAGCCTACAGCGCTACATCTGGTGGTAAATTTGGCACCGAGAACCAATCCTCTGCCATTTTCCAAGATGTGTATCATGTTCTTCAGCAGGTACATAGGCCATAGTTTACACAGGACCAATGACTTAAACACATCCTCCAACAAATGGTGCATTATGACCTTTATATCACAGGAAGAGCAAGTCAAAGTAATCGAGTCAGGGCCACCAACATCTCAATAAATTAGCACACACAAAGTCATTGGCATGAGATGGGGCATAGAAGAGAGACTTTCACAGGTAGAGGGCCCACCCACCTCAGCCCCACCATGGTTGAGGCTGAGGAAAAAAATTTATATTATGGTACCGCTAGATGGCCGGAAATTCCACTCTCAGAGTAAAATTTTGGTTATAATTTTAATTTTTTCTGCATTTAAAAAAAATAATTTTGAAAAACTTTGGGGGGTGGGGGGAGGGAAGGGGCAACCCCCACCTTGAATCCACCACTGAAATTGTTTATCACTGGTTTTAACCAATTTCTTATCACCACATCATTACCATGACCATCAAGCACTAGGAAATGTCAGATATAAGACGAAATTTGGAAAATACCTTTTCATAATCAGATTGAATCATCCAGTTGCAACCACCAAGGCAGTAACCTGAACTCAAGGGCACGACAGTCAGAGCACCAAATAAATTCTATAAAACCAAATTTATAAAAGTAATTAAAAAAAAATCATTGCTAAAATACATATGAAAGCTAAGTCTAACAAACTTTGTCACTACTATATATGGAATATACTAGATAACTATATTTGATGATGAATTAAAAATAGACCTGTTTCAACTTACTGTTCTTTCTGCAAATGTTACTAACTTGACTTTTGACAGTGCATTGTTTACATCTTGCTGTGTATAACAGTTCCTCCATGATGGAATGTTGAGGGCAGATTTCAGTGGTGCTGGTAGTGTTTTCAAAATATCTGGCTGCTTCCACTGGCTAGCAACAATCCTCTTGCCAACTCTTTCCATAAACTCAACAATCTCATCCATGTACAATCTTTATGATGCCAAAGTGAACAAATAAATATCACACATACAGTTAGGGAATAAAGAGATCTCTTTGAAGTCCATACTGTTTTCAGTGAAAGAAACAAAATGCTGGAGCAGTGGCATCAAAAGTAGGGCACAGGATCCCTGTCTGGAAATTTGGAACCCCAATCGGTGAATACTCAGTGCCCCATAGGGCAAGAAGCCAATCATTTCAGCAGGGAACACTGCTTTGAAAAGGTATTTCTACAGCCTATGAGTGCCATTTCCAAGAATAAATGGGGCTGACCCCTATTGGGGACACTGGACTTCCATTGAGGAATTCTCGGTGCTGCCACCCTTTCTATTATTAAAGTAAAGTAGGAAAATAGATCAATGACTAAACAGGCATGACTGTGTAATAAATGAAACACAGGCTATAAAAACAGTTGTAGCAGTTTATAGTAGTAGTTCGTAATATTGATTTCAGAAATGCTAGAATAAAAAAAAAATATGTTATGTTTGTTATCTGCAAAATATGATGAAAGTTACTTACTTTCCAAATTGAACTGTTGGTTCTGTTGCATAAACTGTTCCTTTGAATCCAGTATACTGAAGATCAACACCAGATAATAATTATAACATACACAGATAATGTATATTAGAATAAAATAAAATAGCAACTTTACATAAATATTCATCATATAAATGACTCACCTCTGTTATAAATGGAAGAGCCAACATACAGTGATAGTTTGAGATAAGAATAGCGTCAATACTGGACATATCAAACATATCAATCTGGATAGAGGAAAAAATGTCATTATTGGGTGTTATACTAAAAAGGCATATATTGCTAGTAAAGTAAAATGATTTGTTAATGGTTAAAATGTCATTCAAAGCTGTTTAGATACGGCACTACAAGCAATGACTGTGGGAATCAAGTCATACCATTGGTCATACTGTATAAATGGAAGAATTGATTAATCGATTGATTAAATAGTTACATACAAGTTCCCTATTAAGTGTCCTACAACCATATAGCGATATACAGTAACAGTGCTTTTTTAAAATTAAACAGTAAAAGCAATACAAAACTAAAAGCCTTTGAAACATGTATAAAAACAATAAAAATAATGATACAGACCTCTGGTAGGCAAACTTCTGGTGAACTATCAACAAGAACTCTCCCCCCACATTCCTTCAACTCCTGTTTTAAGAGAGACAAAGTTTAACTATATTTTAACATGTTTTGTAGATTGTCTAAAGATTATATTTATGTTCATTGATTAATTATATGAAATAGAATTTAAAATTAGAATTTTTACCACAAATGTTGCCATATTGAAATACTGAAACATTATTGTTCTTAGAAATGTTGTTTTTCTTACGGAATCAGTGAATTTTCAAAAGATCTTTGGCAGAATTTATATTCAATTTTTTTTGTTTATCCCTTCTGGTAATTTTGATCTTTTTGTTGGATGTACTCATCGGGGTATAATTTGCATTCCAATAAATATCAATCTACAAAAAAATAAACGAAACCTACAAATTCTAACATGATCATCAGCATTATAAACACATGCAAGAAATATGAATAATTTTAATATAGGCCTACACTAGACTCATTTTCATGAATTAGAATCACTCTCTTAAAAATGATTTGTCACATATGGATATTATATGGCAGGGGTGGACATTAAAATTGGTCTGAGGGCCAAAATGAATTTTGATTCAACTCCAATGGTAGCACCCAAACTTTGATGTTTAATAGTGCATTTCCAAAACCTTCATACACTGTTTTATGGACACATTATTCTCAGTTTTAACATTACTTTTTACAGATAGTTGGTGCCAGGCTGCAAAAAACAAGGTATTTTCTAGCGAAAGATTGTTGGCGGGCCGCACACATAGGGTTTGTAATTCATTTTCGCAGGCCTCAAAAAAATTACTGGCGGGCCGCATGTGGCCCGCGGCCCGCACTTTGCCCACCTGTGTTATATGGCATCATAACTCCCATATAACAAAGATATTTGTCTCAAGTAATATAATAGTGTGGATAGGAATTGATAAAGATTACATTACATAAAATTCACTCACATTACATTTATCCTTGTCTCCATTGGACTTCCATTTTGGTAGCTTTGCCAGCCGTGTGCTAATCAAGAAAAGTAATAAAAAATGAAATTTAACAATTAATTTCTGTTAACTGAACTTTTTAAAGTCATCCAGTAACTGAAAAGTGTACTGCAACAATGGGTATTGTTGCAACATGCCAATCAGTGGCGGCACCAGCAGGGGGACACGGGGGCTTAATTCCCCCCGTCGGACAGAGCTCCTCGGGCAGTCAGACCATAAAAAACATATAAATAGGCACACACCAAGCCAATACGTCTGTCACAGTCGGATAGTGCCGGAGGTTGCTTATTCTTAAAAAAAAAATTCATTTGGAAGGGGGAAGCCCTCTCTCAACCCCTTCCCCCAGTTTAGGCATACAATCTCAAGTCCCCCTGTTGGACAGCTTAGCCCCTCAAAAAATATATCCTAGAGCCGCCACTGATGCCAATGCCATAGTACATTACAATAGACAGAAGGTTGTTCTTCTTATCGAATCACTACGTAGCTAGTGTGTGTGATCTAGCCTGCGAATCCTTCTACCACACTTCATAATATGAAGTGTGGTAGAAGGATTCGCAGGTTGGACGGGTACCTGACATGGGGCGCGTCGTGAGCGCTCCTTCTGCGGCCGGACTGCGGACTAGAGATGGACCAGTACACAGGGGTAACCCTCTACTCTTCTCAAATGATGTGCTGGGTTCTTTAAAGTGCACACGAGCCAATTGTGCACACTGGGCCTACGGTTTAGAGTCCTTGTTCCACCAGCGGAACCATAGGCGAGCGTGCCGTTCGAACCAGTTCTGATATTATGGCTGTAAGTCATGGTTCCCCTGTCTTAACCGCTCAGCGAATCGACTCGCTGACAGAAGGTTCAGGTTAGGGTTAAGCCAACCCCACCAAAATTGTCTGAAGAATGTCCACGGCTTAAAAATAATAGCTTGAATAAGCCAATTCGTAGACTGAACTGTGCATGACCCTATCCAAAGTCAATTGAGGTCATAAACCTATGTTGTGTGCATCAGGATCTGTGTGTTATGTTTGCCTACAGTATGTCGATTGAACTTGCTATGTGCATGCGCACTTCAAACTACAAATTAGCTTATTCTAGGACATGAGATACAGAAGGCACCTGTGCTTTACCTTGGGACTAATGTCAGAGGAATGAAGTGCTGTAGTGACTGGAGATCCAGACTACAGTCTAACATTAATGTTGTTCCCTTGAATGTTAACACCAAACAAGGTGAATTTGGCTTGTCAGAAAGGCAATACTGCAATGATAAAATTTAAATTATATTTCATTATGAATTCAGATCAATAAAATGCATATACAATTAAGTTTCTAATCAATGCCTAGTTATCTATTGATGACTCATGCCCTGACCAACTGAAAAACTTCTTGTTTATCAGTGACCCATTAATCTCAAGCCAATGGGTTTCATAAAAGTACAGATTTCTTGATTGACATTGTTTTTGTTGATTTACCTCTTTGATAGTAGTAAAAGTAGGGTTCCAATGGTTTTGTATAATATACACTTTTATTTACGGATTACAATTGGCTAGCTAGGATGTCATCATTGACCACTTCGTTAAGTTTGCATGACTGGCTGATGATAATAACCAAATTGGAATTGTTCATGAAGCCAGCCGTGCAAATAAAAGTTATTTGTACAGTAGTTGATTGCATGGTCAGCTGCACAAAAAAGTCTGACATTTTGATAATCCTTTACAAAACAATGGTGGCCCTGTCCCCCCACCCCCACCCCTCCAACAACTGGTGTAGTCACGCATTTCAAACCCTTCAGGTTGGTAACTATGCAATAAATCAACAACCCTGGGCCCAACACCCTGTATGTATCTGACCTTCCTTGCTTGCTTCATACATAGAATAGCCACCCCCTCCTTCTTTCCTGTTTTTCAGGACAGGAATATCCAGCTGTCAGTGCCTAACAGCTCACAAACAAACCCCTGTCTGTATTTTTCAGCATAGTACCCTGCCCCACCCCAACAACCCATTCACCCACCCAGGTGGGCCCAGCCTTTGCTAGGCCTACAGTACTCCCTCTATCTATACCACCACCCCACAGTCCTGGACTCGGCGGGCTGACACAGCTTGCCTATTGCTATTATTAGCCTATGGCTATTGATTCCGGTTATGTTATGCCACCTCCTCTCTTTTTCCACCTTGGTCCTTGGGATCAGGCTACCAGATGGCTAATACTAGGGCCTGTATTTTACGTTACTTACAAGTTTCATGATTGCAAATATGTTATTATTGTAAACCAGTAACAAACAACTGTTTAAAAGCGATCAAAGTAAACTTCACTCAATCCATCATGAGGCAGCACCATCGACGAAGAAAAAACAAAACAAACAATCCTCATCGTGCCAACTTTTGTATATGGAGCACGCCATCTGTACTGTTTTTAACAGGAAATTTCATTGGTTCGTGAAAAAGGTTGACGAATCAAAAGATTTCTTTGATTCATTTACGACCTAACTAGATACTACAGATTGGAATGATGGGCGAACTCATTTTTGTATTTCTGTAGTATTAGGTTTGAGATTTTTAATAATTATTAATATTCTGCTACAAATACAAGTATAAATACGAAATTTTAGAAAATAAACAATTCAAAATAACAAAAATGTCTTAAATAGATATTTAGCTTCTGGGAATACAAATCATTTGAAAAATATTTTGAATTAGTCATTCCATTCATAAATGGCACAGAACAAATGTACTGGAAAAATAAATTAAAACAAACACATTTCTGATTTTCTGAAAAGTCATCGGGGAAGAAAGAAAGAACTGAACAGGTATATGAAACTTCATGTTAGTGTTGGCCATAATTATAAATTATATGATAAATATTATATATTTTGTATTTTTAATATGTGGTGTTAGATTCGACCTTATTATGGATTCTACAGCTAGGGCCTTATTAGGCTAGGCCCTAGGAGGTCTACAAAATTACTGACACTGACTGACAGCAGCAGGCCTGCTCATCTACACTCAGCTCTCAGCAGGCCCAGGGAGCGCTCTAGCCTAGGCGGTCTGGTGCTGGTAAATGGTAGCCGGCCTAGCCCTAGGCCTAACAAAGACAATAGGTAGTAGCCTACTCAATCTACCAACGGACCTCCTATTATAGAATCGATCACTATAACGTGTCGTCTATAGAGTAGTTAACATACCTATTTATAGATAGTAAGGCCACGAGAATGAAAGTTGTAGGTTTGCGTCCGAAAAATTTTGAAAACACATGAGGCATTTTTTCATTTTTCATTATTCATTATTTTTTTTTATAAATGCTGTCCACAAGCCGCAGCATTGGTAATTTTACATTTATTCCCAAGAAACAATGCTTACAGTCATAAATGTACACTAGCCTATAAAACAGATCCTTTTCTACATTTAAGACCTCTTTAAACATACGAAATTTCCTATTGGTCAGAAAGATGGATTTGACCCGTAAATGACCTCAGCAGTGATCGGCGATCATGGTGCGATGTGGCCAGGCCTGCCTTCGCTCGGTGTTCGCGACGAGTGATCAGTGATGAATAGAT